AAAACTTTAAAAAACTGATATTACTAGCCAGGTATACTGGTACACACCTGTAATTGCATCACTTAGGAGACTGAGGCAGGGGGATCTTGAGTTTAGGGACACATGATGGGACCCTCTTTGAAAAGGGGGAGAAAGATGGTTTGGATGATCAGATTTTCTGTTCTGTTTCTATGACATATTTATTGTTCTTCAATAAATATGATATGTTTCCCTCTGAGCACCCCTACCCTCTGAGTACCCCTCCCTCTGAGCGCCCCTACCCTTTGAGTGCCACCACACAAGGTAAATGATGTTTTAGTTCCTCTTTCTCCCATAGTCCTGGGATTTTATTTTCAAGTGCTGGGGTGTGAGTTCCAACACAAGTAGGCAAATGTTCTATGACTGAGCTATAGCCCCAGCCTGATTTTGTTTAGTAACGGAAGTGCCACTGCTGGTGAGGTGAAACAAGGGTACTAGCTGCTGTGAGAGCCAAAGTTATGTTTTAAGTTTTAATTACTATGCCTAAGAGATCCATGAAACAAAAATGTCTCTGATCTATAAGCCCCTCGCCCAAGGACATATAGTTCTAAAATGCTGGAAGCTATTATTTGTGAGAGATAGCAAGCCATGTGTTCTCACTCCCCTAAACAGTTTCCGTTGACCCCTCTACCTAATGTGCTTGATCACATGTGGGCAGGAGGTACATGGGCAGGAAATGTATCAGGATGTATGCTTGCCCCTGATTGGACCTCATAGGACGTGCGATGAACTGTGGGGTTTGCCTTTTTAAGCCCCTGCGAACCAGGACTCGGGGCCATTTTCTGAAAATCCGAGGTGGATGTGGCCAGAGCCCATCTACTTGGCCAGTATTTAATTAAAGCTTGCTTCAAATTTGGCTTAAATTTGAGGTAGTGGTCTTATTCTCCTACCCCATCCCGCCTCTGGAGTTCTTGCTAAGAGCATAGAATCAAAAGGCAGGTGGAGGGTGTAGCTTCAGCGGTGGAGTCCTGACCTAGCAAGCATAGTGCCTTGGTTTTAGCCTCTAGTACCACAAAGACAAAAGACAAAACAAGGTCCAAACAGGGTCAAAGGTCTCTAGCAACAGCTGTACAAAGACTTCTTAAGAGCAGGGCTTGTTTCTAGCCTAACTAAATTTCCTGACTAGATTAGCTAATCCCTACTAAACACAACACAACAAAACAAAACACCCATATTCTTCTGTTCAGCAGTCTTTTCCCTTGGAATGCCACTTTGTTAGGGAAGTTTAACATTCTTGGTAACAAGGTGTGGTTGCAACACTCAAATGTGTGGGTTTATTTTCCTTCATCATAACAAGACAGAGATTTCCACTGGGGCATTTGGTAAATTTTTCAGGACACAACAACAAAAATAAACCCCAATCACGTATCTTTATCTTCTCCAAATCTCTGGGAAAGAGAAAATACTGAGTCTTTCTTAAGCTGTGGTGTTTAATCTGAGACCACCAGAACAGGATTGAAAATTTTCCCACTTCCTGCAAATGCTTGGTGCAAACCAGATAGACCCCAAGCTACTTTGAATCGACCAGTATTTCTGCCATGGAGTGAATGAGGTTAGAACATAATTAAAACATACATGTACCTGGAAGGTTTGGGTTGTAATATCAGGTATTTAATCTTATTTGTCCTGCAGTCCCCACTTGATCTACCACACAAACGAATTTCAAATTCACTAGAACTAAATACAGTCATCTTTCAGAGTGTGTGGGAGATCGGCTTTAGACATGCTCATCCCCAAATCCATGGACGTTCAAGTTCATATAACCTATACATCTCCCCCTAAATGTACTAAACCATCTCTAGATTACTTATAATACCTAATATAAGATCATTGCTGTGCAGATAGCTGTTATTCTGTTCTGCTTAAGGAATAAGGAAAATGACTTGTAGGCATTCAGTATAATGTCTTTCTTCCCACATGTTTTCAGCCTGCAGTTGACTGAATGTGGATGCAAGTCCTGCAGGTCCAGAGAGCTGACTGCATCTCACCTGGAATGCACTAAGGTGTAAGTTTAAATAGAATGCTTATTTGCAGCAAGTCAATATCTCCTTTGGTATCTCCTCTTAAATGTTCCTAAATAAGCTCCTAAACTATTGAGAAGCACTTTAATTGCTGATGGAAGTTTAGATCCATGTTCTACTTCATGCATTTTTGTGGATTTTTTAAACATAAAACTAATCCCTCGCCCCCCCCCCTTTTTTTTTCTATTCTGAAGATTCATTCCAGAGGCTTGCACATGCTAGGCAAGTATTGTCCCACGAGGTATACTCCCAGCCCAATGTTAATTGTTTTCTTTTTAAACAAAGAACTTTTTTTCCTCACTAGTACTTTTCACTGAGCATAAAAACTATTTTACATACTGAAAATGGCAGCACACCACACTTGGCTATTGTATTGACATTCGCAACACTCAAGGAGGATGGCCTGAGGCCGCTGTCGGGTGTCTCCGTGAAAAGTCTGAGCGCTCCCGCTCACAGCCTCAGACCCGTCTGGGCACGCTTGAACGACTGGCCAAGCAGGCTGCCCAGAATTCTCCTTGGGTAAGAACTAAGAGTTTGGAAAAAAAAGAGAGAGAGAGAGACTTAGAAACGCTAAAGTGGGAGACCAGCCTTCTCCTGACACCCTTGGGCCAAGAACAGAATTTCATTCATAGTCTATAAACAAGCCAGAAGAAAGGATTTTTTTCTAATGTCTTCATGTAAAAAAAATGTAAATATTTAGGGATTAATTAACTTTAAAAGAAGTGTCATAAACAATAAGACGTGTTCAAAGGCAACTAGAATCCAGACTGATGACGAGACTCAGAAGTATGTTAAGGCTAGGAGCTGCCTGGCTCAGTTCTGACATGGTCTTCCGCATCCTGGGCCCAAGATGACTCAGCACTTGTTTCCATGTGTCCCTTTTTCTTTGTCTTTCCACTGCCCCTCGGGTCCCATGGTCAATCCCTTGCTGCACAGGAGAGGAGGAAAGTGTGTGTGTGTGTGGCACTTTCTGGCTTTATCTCGAGAGACTATCTAAACGGGCAAGGAAAGATCTGTTTACAACACACCTCTAAACCATAAATTCACCAGGTAGAAGACAGGCAGGGGGCCCAGGCTCTGTGGTTGACCAGAGAACTCTGACCTTGTAAACTGTTTGGCTCTCCCAAACTGTCGTCAGCTGATTTTCCTATCAGCTTGCTTCTGAACCAGGGCAAGATTCCTAGAGAAGTGCAGTAAAGCAATCATCAAGCAAAATTTAAGTTTGCCTATGTGCAATAGACAACGTGCAAGAAGAGTGCTTAAACTGTCGGGTGGTGGTGGTGGTGGCGGCGGCGGCGGCGGCGGCGGCGCACGCCTTTAATCACAGCATTCCCAAGACAGAGGCAGGCAGATCTCTGAGTTCGAGGCCAACCTGGTCCACAGAGTGAGTTCCCAGATAGCCAGGACTGTACAGAGAAACCCTGACTCAAAACAAACAAACAAAAAGAAAGGAAAGGAAAAAAACAGAGTGCTTGAACTAATTTATAGGGTCCCCTCCCCCTCATTCATTACAAAGTATCTAGAAGAAGATAGTCCAGGTGGCGAAGGTCGTTCCATGTGCTCATCTGACTCTGTTTTATGTTTCCATTCAGCCATCCATCTCTGCATCTTCAGGATATCAAAATAGTATCTGTTTCACTCCCACTCTTGCATAGTGTGCTCACATTCTAGGAAGGAAGAAGCAGAAAGAACAAAAGCATTATTCATCTGCCCTTAAAGAACATTCCGGAAAGTGTTACACAGAAGCCACGTCTTTGGTTTTAATGGCCATAACTGTCATATCAATCGCCAACTTCCAAACATGTTGGGAAATACAGTTTTATAGCTAGGCTCTCCCATCCCAAAGTATATCAGTGCTCCGATTATACACAAAGATCAGGTGTGGTGGCACACGCCTGTAATCCCAGCACTTTGGAGGTCGGAGGAAAGAGACTGGGGAATTCATAGCCATCCTTTGCTGTACAGCAAGTTTAAGGCCAGCATGAGTTACATGAGTCTTGGCTTTAAAAAATTAATTTTGAAGCTGGAGAGATGGTTCAGTCGTTAAGAGTACTGGCTGCTTTTCCGGAGGACCTAGGTTCAGTTCCCAGCACCCACATGAAGGCTCACAACCATCTGGAACTCTAGACCAGGGAATCCAATGCTTTCTTCTAGTCTCCTAAGGCATCAGGCAGGCATGAGGTACACAGACATACACGGAGGCAGAACACCCATTCACATAAAATAATTAATTTTTTAAATGAATTTTGAGGCCAGGCATCATGGTGGTGCACACCTTTAATTCCAGCACTCAGAAGGCAGAAACAGGTAGATCTTTATGAGTTCCAGGACAGCCAAGGCTGATACACAGAGAAACCTTGTTTAAAGACAAACAAACAAACAAACAAAAACAACAACAACAACTCACCAAACCCCACACACAAAAAAAAATGAAGAAAAAAAACAGAATTTTGATTTCTGATACAACGTAGAATTTTTATGTGAAAATTCAAGATGTGAAAATAATACTATGTAACAGGGGTGGGAACGGGTATTTCTCTGAACTAGACGGGAAAGAGATGGAGGGAGGTACACTGGGTTTGATGTTGTTCAGCAACTGAGCAGGTGGTTGCTGCAAGATCAATTAATGACAGCCCTACAGGGAACAGGCAACGCTCAGCAGAGAGTTCCAGAGATCCTCCTGGGATCTGGGTCCTACTGGTTAGCTCCTGAAACTCTCCATCAACCAAGACACATAACTTCTGAGAGAGAGAGAGAGAGAATGTGCATGACGGGGAGATACTCCTCAGTTGTAACACTCTGTGTGCATTTCTTCTAGCAACATCTTCTGTAACCCTGTGGGAGACTGGCTTCAGTTCATAGGTGAGCCTACCTAGTCCACGGATCTAATCCCCCCACAGAAGCTAAGAGACCAGGAGTCAAACAAAGGCTGTGATCCAAAGTACCCACCTCCCGGAAGTACGCGGCTGACCCAGCTCACAGCTTCCATTTGCCTGATCTCTCTTTCTAGAGAAGCATGCATGTAAATGAGAGTTAATCAAGTGTAAAGAAGTTCCCCAAATGTGAGACAGATAGTAAGAATGAGAGGAGACTGGCACAGGCTAGTGTATTCAAACAGGGATTGATGGAGGGCACAGAACTTAACTTAGACATCACAAAATGGGAAGCATTTAGGCTAAGAGGAGACAAGGGGAACAATATCCTATTGAGGTGTGATGCAAACTTAATGTCAAAGGACGGAAGTAGTTCCTGGAGAAGGTTCAGATAACAATGTCCTCCAGCAGGGTATGGACAATCTGAAGGGACCACGGCACACAGAACAGGGAAGGGAAGAGGTGTTCTAGAGGGTACCTCTCATCTAACTTCTTCCTACCTTTTGCTTTGTAAATTAATTGACTGTCCAACTATACAAATATATTTTAAAGGCAGTAAATCAAATCAACTAAGAGTTTGATAAATAATATCAAGAATATGAAGTGTATTGCTGGTACAGTGTAAACAAGTACAACCACTTGGCAAGCTACCTGTCAGAACTCAGCCAGCACTCTGACTCAGCAGTCCCAAATATATAGAGAGGGCATATGGAAGGCATTTGTACACACAATAATAACACACACACACACACACATATATGTACATAGACACCCACACATGCGTATATGTAGAATTACCCTGGTGTTCTTAACAAGGGAAACGGACAAGTGATATGTTAAAATAGTATTCTATGAAGTGATAAGCTGCTGTGTCAAGTAGTAAATAATATATATTCGATAACCTGAATGATATAAAAACATAGTTTGTAGCTTAAGAAGAAAAGAGCCAGGTGTGGCAGCAAGACCCTATCTCCAAAAAAGTGGAGGAGGAGAGGAGGTGGGGGGGAGGAGGAGGAGAAAAAGGATAGGGATGGGTGGTTCAGTGGCAAAGTGCTTTCTGTGCCTAGCATTCAAAAGGCCTTAGATTAAGTCTACAGGGAGAGACAGACAGACAGACAGATAGACAGAGACAGACAGAAAAAAACAGAGAGATAGAGAAAGACAGAGAACAATTTATGTAAATAAGAACATATAGACATAAAATAAATTTATAAAAGTTCAGTGAAGAGGGCTAAGACTGTAGCTCAGTTGGTAGAGCCCACCCTGGATGAAGGCCTCCTCAGCACAGCATAACCAGGAATGGTGTGCACACCTGTAATACAAACAAAGGATCAGAAGTTCAAGCTCATCCTCAGCTACATTTTAGTTCGAGCTAGCCTGAAACACATAAAACCATGCTTCAAAAAACATAAAAAAAAAAAAAATTCTGTGAAGAAATGAATGAAGTTGCATTTGGGATACAGGAAGAAACTGACTCATTAGGCAAGAAAGAGGTCTTCCTATTCTAATGATTAATGTATTGTAAATTCATTCTTTGTGCTTAGATTGCCCCTAGCCTTACTCCCCTCCCTCCAAAAGGAGTCACTGGGAAAAGATGCACCCTTAGTTCTCTTACATCTTTAAGTGTATGACCAGCACTTGAACATATGGTTATCTGTTATGGAATATTCGTACACTGTGTGAAGATGTGTTGCTGTGATTGGTGTAATAAAAAGCTATACAGCCAATTGGTAGGCAGGAGAGATAGGCAGGACTTCTGGGCAGAGAGAGGAAGATGAGATAATCAAGGCAAGGAGGAGACACCTTAGAAACACAGAATGAATCAGACACACAAAATGGGAGAGAGGTAAAAGTCACGTGATATGACATAGATTAGTAAAAATATGGGTTATGTTGAGGCCCACAAAGGTTTCCTACTGAAATCTGAGCTTGCTTTAATCAGAAGAGCTACATTAGAGGATTGCTTGACCATGTGCATGGTTTCTAGGTGATGGGAAGGGTCTACACTTGGCTGAGCTAGGGGGAGGTCTTTTGCTCCACCCCTTGGCATTCCTGTAAATAGCCCTTTAGAAGAGACAGAAGGGGCTGATAGATAAGGAAGGATCCAGGCCCTCCCGAGGCTATCCTGTGTTTCCATCTGTTTCTCTCCTCTCTATCTTTCTATCTAAATCTCTTATCCCTCACTCCTCAAGAGTCCCCTGGGGTAAAATGTTGGAGCTGTTCTCCCAGCTGGGCTCCCACAGGGTTAATTTAAGTTATAAGAGTTAGTGGGGCAAACCTAAACTAAGGCTAAGGCTGAGCTTTCATAGTTAATAAGAAGTCGCTGTGTCATTATTTGGAGCTGGAGGCAGAAAAGAAATTCCAACTACACTTAGTTAAGGCCAAGCTTTTATAATTAATAGTAAGTCTCTGTGTCATTTTTTGTGTGCTGGCAGTCTTGACAAGAAAGTACTGCTACATTTGGTGCTCAACATCCGCCATGTAAATCCATATAGGTAGGCCCTGAAAAGAAAAAAAGAGAGGGAAAAAAAAAAGAATTTCTGAACACAGACTCAGACGTGGCTTTCTGGTGGCCGAGGTCTCCAGGTAGACTTGCTGTTTGCTGTTGATAGAGTACAGAGACACAGGGCTCCTTTAAAAGGCCCTTCTGTGCAGCAGAGCAGCCAGTGTGCTAGGTAAAAAATGCCTGCCGCATCTCAGGCTCGCAACTTCTCAGGGCTGGTACCGCCTGTATGAGGCTAGGCTCTTAGGGAACCAAGAAGGGCAGAGC